TGTATGTGTGTGTGTGTGTGTGTGTGTGTGTGTGTGTGTGTGTGTGTGTGTGTGTGTGTGTGACGTGTGTCGGCTCACGTATGCGTCTGCGTCTTTCTCTGTTTTGGTGTGTGTGTGTGTGTGTCGGCTCACGTATGCGTCTGCGTCTGCGTCTTTCTCTGTTTTGACGTTGTGCCGCTCCCTGCCCGACATGTTCTCTCCTTGCCTGACAGCTTCGTTTCGTGCGTGTCTGGCACCTCACAGTAGGTGAACGCCGATAGATCTCCCAGCTCTGATGGCCCTCCCTTCTTCTTTGGTTGAACCGGACAAAGCCTCAGTTGCCAATGTGATAGGTAACTCTCAGGTGGAGTCCGCGGTTGTCTTCCCCTCAAGCTACAGGTACTATCACGATAATAGAGGTGATTGCCCTTTTCTTAAGAAGGGAAATAAAAAAGGTAGAAAAACAACAATCTTTTCCTCCGACTTAGAAATTTCAACTCTGACAGGAAAAATTCAAGTTTGCCCTTGTTAGAAAATTTCAGTGGGGACACCCTCCTATAGATGTTATCAAAAAGAGTGTTGATGATCTTAAACTTGTAGGCAATTGGAAAGTGAGACTCATGAATGAGAGACGTGTATTGATTCAACTAACCGTGGCTGAAGACTACACCCGGATTTTCTCCAAGAAATATCTTAATATTGCAAGCAAATCAATGAAGTTACTCAAGTGGTCTCCTGATTTCGACCTAAATCACGAAAGTCTCACTGTACCGGTATGGTGTAGTCTACCTGCTCTCAAGATGCACTTTTTTCATCATCAGATTCTTTACTCTATTGGGGTTATTCTTGGGGACCCTATGAAGTTGATCTACCCACTTTCAATCTAACCAGACATTCTGTGGCCAGATACTTATGAAAATGAATATTACTTTACCTTATGTTACTGAAGATTAGTTGGGCACAACTCATAATGGATATAGGCAACAAATCGTCATGGAACACAGACATCCATATTGTACCCACTGTAAGTTGTTTGGGCATACCCTTGATAAATGTCACAAGCTCCATCCTAATTTGATATCTAAGGTTCAAGTGAATAAGGATGGGTCTAACCACACTGCTCTGAATATTTTAGTTCCACCTAAGGAGGATACTACCAGACAAGTGTTTGTTACCCCCGTGGACCCCCCTGACACTGTTGTTATTTTCACTACGACTGATGTGATGCTAGCACCTTCAAACCCCATTGAAAACAATATTGAAGAGCTATTACCTACAAAGAATAGTGTTCAGACTGATAATCAGGAGAATCTCGCAGCTCCCTATCTTCAAGAAGTATTCGGTGTAGAGGTAACTCATACTTCACATATACTAGAACCTGTTGTGGGTACTACGGTTGGTAATCCTTCTGCTATAGCTCTACCACATCCTCAGACTGATTCCTCGGATGAGGAATAGCAGGTTTACACTTCCAAGAGAAAGAAGAATGGAGATCTACTTAAGCTAAAAAATCTTATGGTTGGTTACTTCGGGTAATGGTACGCACCTTACCAATTTGTTAGTGGGATCCCTTCCGAGAACTAGAGGCAGAGGTAGGACTAAATTGGGATGAACCTCACTTCTTCTGCGCCCTGGTGGTTTTGGGCATTTTTTTATTTTTATATGTACCCTTTTTTACTTTTTTTGTGTGTGTTGTACCGTGTGGGTTGGATGTTTATTTTTGGACCCACTCATAAAACATATCTGTATCATTTCTCTTTAATATATTAACCCTTGCGCTTTTTTTAATATATATATATATATATATATTGATGAGTATTATTTTTAAAAAATTTAACTAACCACAAAATTACAAAGTTTTATAATCAATTAAGATAATTAATTAAAAAAATAAAATAAAAATATATTAAATTATGATTTAATATAAACCATAAGATTTAAATCTTGCCCCAACCCTTAACATTCTACCGCTGTGAGATTAGGGTTGTCAAAACGACTTTTTGTTCGTGAACAACTCGTGTTCGGCTCACTGAGCAAGCGAGTCGAACACAAACACACTTTTTGTGTTCGAAATATAAACAAACTGGACACGAACAGTGATATTTTTTAACGAGTCAAACATGCGCTGAGCCTGGGCTCACTCGTGTTCGGCTCGTTTACACCCCTAATAATAGATGGCTAATGTTCCACATCTACCTCTACACCATGCCACCCTAGAATTATGAGAAAGTTTTATGGAAATTTACTAACCCGTCTCAATGGTAAGCTATCTTACTCAACATATATGGAAACCTAAGAATGCTCTACAATTTCACCCAGTTTTGAATCATGTGCAGTATTTTTTCCATAAGCACACAGACCTAGATTCTGGATTGAAGTTCATCTGAAGGAACTTCTTCATACCTAATACAAAATCATGAGCTTCAAATTTTAGGTACCCAATGCATCATCTCCTACATGTTGACTGCCTTGAAATCGTATTTTGTTTGTCTAAATACCTTCATTTGAATAGATTTGAAATTGAATACATGGAATGTTATTTTAATAGTAGTAGATCTAGTGGCAGATTTGTAACAATGGGCGATCAAATTATTAAAAGGAGTGAATGTTCTAGATTTCTCAAGTCTATTGTTCAAAGTGATGGTGATATAGATGGGGATGGTATTAGTAAAATTCAAGTTGGATGGTTGAAGTGAAGAATGCAAAAGGTCTATTGTGTGATAGAAAAGCGCCGCTTTGACTTAAAAGAAAAATTTTATAAGATAATGTTGAGACCTACAATACTTTATGGCACAGAATGTTGGCTTATATAGAAAAACATAAAACTAAGTTAAGTTTAGTTGAGATGAGAATGGTTAGGTGGAAGGGTAGCTTTACACTTAAGAGACAAAAATGTGATACGAATATATCCATGAAATGGTTGGTGTAGCTCCAATGACAGACATGATTAGAAAAAGTCATCTTAGATGGATTGGTCACATTAAACGTTGACCATCTGATGATCCGATTAAAAGAGTAGATGTTTTAGAATTGATTTATGTTAAAAATGGTAGAGGAAGATCTAAAAAAATAAGGACATGTATAAAAAATGATCTTAATTTATTAGAATTAAATGAAAATACGACACTCTAAATGAAAATACACACTCAATAGAACACAATGGAGAAAAAGGATTCATGTAGCCGACCCCACCTAAATGGATAAAGGCTTGTTGTTGTTGTATGGCTTATTGCTTAGCCAACTAGAGCCCACTTCTCTTCATTTTAGAAATATGATTTGTGATCTATTGTACTACACATTTAGTTTGTCCTCTCCTGAAAAATTCATGCCACCTATTGAGAACACAAATCATCTAGCTTTCAATTCTCCCTCCCATTGATCAAAGTATTCTCTCAGTTGCCCTGAAATTTAAACATGGCCTGCATGACGCATGAATCTTTTTCATTGATAATCATAAACTTCAAACTTTGTACACTGATTCCATGATGAAATCATTTTAGAATTAGTTAAGCTCTTTGTATTGATGTTCTTTCCTAGTTGATGATATCCAGAGGAGGGAGATATATGGTAAAATGATACAATTTATGTGGTTGTGTGATTGATATTATGTGGAAATTTTATGTAATTTGTTTTTTTTTAGGTGCTGGCCTAATTAATTCATTATTGCACATTACCATGGTGAAATCATTCACAAACCATTTTAAAATTTATTTGGTACCATTAGTTTAAACAAAACTAATATTGAATAATTGTTTTCAACTAGGGCAAACAATACTCCAAAACATACAATAGTGTTTGTCAACATAAAAAATGTAGAGATTGTTGATAACTAGATTGATTTAAAAAATATAAATACTTTTTTTTGTGGACTAACATTTGATCTCAAGTATGTAAACCAGGTCTCCTCAAGAAAAGTTCAAATGCATTAAACTGCAGATCATGATGAAATTTTATTGAATTTAAATGATGTTATAAAGTCTCTTACATAAAAAGAGCTTGAATGGTTATGAATTTTATCATAGGTTCATTTCTATAAGCATATTAGGGTCTTGTCTAGTCAAATATTACTCTTATAAGTTTATTTCCAAAATTATCCAAAAAAACTTATTTTGAAAAATATATTAAGAGAACTAATCAGCAAAAATCCTATATTAGTAAACAGCAGCTTGCTAAGAAAATAAAATAGTTCGTGGATTGAGAAATTTATTCATTTAACCAAATTAAGCAAAGTTTCAACTTGGCGCTAACTATATAATCATAATATGCTTTAAGTTCTAGGTTCAGCTCAATTGTACAACTTTGTCGGTTGGCTTGGATTGTCTAAATTCAGACAAGTTAATTGCTCACACAAGTATGCCAACTTGATCGGTAAAAGTAAAATTTCATGCTCAATAGTGATTCTTCATCTAATCCTTTGCAACTATTTTAGCATAGTACATTTCCAACAAACTTACCATGACTTGAGACGCATTTAAGGGCTTATAAGTATGTGACACATGAAATCTTATTAGAGAATCCCTTGAATGATTCAATTCTTACACCTTATCTTTTCAAACAAGCCCAATCACTTTTCCACCATTTTGGCCAATCTTCTAAAGACTCCCATGGGTAAGAATAAAGCGATACCATGGTAGAGGGATCTCACTCTTTTGAATAAAACAATATTTATCTTTATTTAGTGGCACCTTCTTTGGTGGTAGTGGCAATACCTTATCACTCCTCAAATGTACTTAAATCACTTTATAAGATTTAGTTTCTTTAAATGAAGTAATTTAAATATAATCATCCTCCATCATTTTGGAGAATTGGGTGGAAAATTCTGAATCACAATTCAATTGCATGCACTCCATCTAAGACGTCATGGTGGGTTTAAATTCACTTTCATCAGTGAAGCACATATCTTCCTCTAAACTTTTGTTTTTTGTAGCACTATCAAGTAGGACTCGACTTTTGCTTTTTTAATCTTTTTGGCCAATTAACGTGATTTTGCTAGGGAAATAGTTTATGTCATGTAAATGACTCAACATGTCTCTAATAAGAATAATTTTTATCCCTCTCTTTTTTATTCTTCTCTTCAGCTTTATCAATGTGAAGTTTAGACATGCAGTCTGCAAGCCCAATATGCTGTCTCGATGAATGGTTTTTGAGAGTTTCCATATTATTTATAATCTTTTGATTTGTAGTTCTTTTCATATTTGATTTTTTATAATAGTTTGGCTTCTGAGGTGCTTTTAGTGGAACTTCGCTAGGCTGTAATAAGCTAGATTGATAAGATTTCTTCTAGACTGATGGCTCAAGGCCCAATTTGAGCACTGGTTTGATTGAAATTTCCAACATATGCCAGGAGCTTCCTCTAATTGTTTTAAGATTTCATAGTTCTCTCTGTGGTATTAGTCCCATATTCTTGATGTTGCACTATATTCCTTCTTATTTCTTGACTGAGTGGTGGCATGGAAGAGGAACTAACCATTATGGCATGAAGCCTCGGTATATGTAATAACTGGACAAAGGGACTAAAGGAAGAAACCATGAAGCAAAAAATATAAAATTACTAAGCACAAAGGATTTCAAAAATCCTATTGACAAAGAAAACACGAGAATAATATGAGTTTTCGTTCTATAGAAGCTTCGAACAGGATTAACAATTTGTTTCAGATTACGAGAAAAAAAATGCTGACAGAAGGTCCAGATGAATTAAAGAGCCACCTTCGCATAATCCAAAAATTAAGATATGTGAACAAAGAAGAAAAACGGGGCAATTTTACCTCTTTGTTTCATTATACCAAGAAAGGAAGCCATCACAGTGGAGATGGGTTGAAGTTGTGCAGTGGCCTTTCCCCTTCTCTCCGCGTTCACGATAGTCCTTAGCGCATCGTTTAGAATCCTACGTCCCATTTGACTCTTTACTTTGTCTCGCTTCTCTCTAGGTTATAAAAGCAGGAGAGAGCGAAGTACAAAAGGGTCGGTGACAAAAAAAGCTTTGATGATTCCTCTGAATGGAAAGGTGATCGCGAAAGTAAGTTCCGAGCAAGCAGGCTGAAGAAGTGAAAAGGCGGAAGGGATGCAACACGAGTCAAAGTGTCCCGAGCTCTGTTCGGAGCCACAAATCCAGTTCAAAATAGATATGGAAGCTTCAGCAAAATGCAAGATCGCGAACATAAATTTTCAAACCACCAGAGCTCTGTTCTGGATATTTGATCTAAATATGGTCGAAAGATTGGAACCGAAGAGGAAATGAAGAAGAGGGGTGGGAGGAGGAAGCCGAGGTGAAGTTAGACTGGCGCGGCGAACTAGGTATTGGATCAAAGGAGGAGAGAGCGGCGGCGGGCGGACCGTTTCCCAAACTTAGGTCAGATAGAATAAAAGGGTTTAGGTTTCATATAGATAGCTTTTTCTTTTAAAAGCAGCATCAAAATTTAAAATTAAATTTATTAAAATGAAAAATATGTTTGAATAGAAAACTTTTTATAATATTAACTGTAGTTTTTCAAATATAGATGAGTAAAATATTCCTCCTCAATTCATGATTCCTCTCTTGCAAGAATTATTTTTTAATGCAGAATTAAGATTGGTTTTCCATTCAACAAGAATTACTAAAATAAAATGTTAGTAATTCTATGTGTAAATTCAAGGAGAGAGTTCTCAAGCTAGCCGAGTAATATAATGTAAGAACTATTTTTTAATGAAAAAGACGTGATATTTGCTAAAGGATTATTGGAAATCGGATCAGTCCAAACTGATTTCGACATTTTCATACTGGAAACATTGGAACGAAGCAAGATGTGTATTGAAGCTTCTGATCTGAAATGAAGAAGAAAGGGTGTCACGGCAAAGAAGCTTCTAGAGAAGTTGCTAGGCAACCTGTCACTATTTTCTGCAACATAAAGGAGGTGTGACGCTGTTTGAAACGAGGCCTGAGGGTGTGTTGGGGGGTGCTTTATCAAAGTTGTTTGTTCTTAAAAGTTGTTATTGGCCATTTAGGAGTCAATTTTCACGTGCCTTTATCGTAATGGTAAAATTGTGAGCGACACTCATTGCTCAGTTTTGGGAATTACTATATTGCCCCTCATCAATTCAGTAAATCCCTTGTTTTATCTCCGATATTACCTCTCCCTGTGATACTCCTAAAAAAGATTTAATTTTTCATACGTTTTAATGTCTATATTTGGTGATTTTCAATGATATTGAACTTTAAAGGAAGATATTTTGTATATTTTTTGTATCAGGTACAATAAATGGAGTTTTGGAGGAAAAAAACAAAAAACGATGCAACTTGTGGCAAAAACGAACAAGAAAGAAAATTTTGTCCTAGCACATTTCAATGTCTTTCTATGATGTCTTTCTATGTTTAATCTCACATATTTTTGAATGAAATTACACTTTAAAGAAAGGTTGTTTTTACACTTTAAAGTCTCACATATTTTTGAATGAAATTACACTTTAAAGAAAGGTTGTTTTATGTTTATTTAGGAATGCTATCTGTTAGGAATGCAACGCAACTGAAATGGGGCGAAACGAAGCTAAAACGGAGCCAAACGAAGCAAAATGGTGGAGTTACGCAGGGTGGGCGCCGACAGAGCCAGAGTGCAGAGAGCGACGTGAAAATGGCTCCGAAGGTGCCCAAAACGGAGCTGACAACACCCGAGACAGGTACCCGAGTCAGGTTGGACGCGATGCTGGGCGAATTTCTAGAAGATTCAATGTATTTGGACTTTTTTTGGAAGGTTGCTTCAGGAATCTCTTGGGAAATTAGTCCCTACACTATAATAGAGTGTTTTTATGTCAAAAAAGTGGTGTGTGTGAGTAGAAAAAAATGAGGAGAATGTTTAAAGATCTTAGAATATGAGTAGAAATGTAGATTTTTACCTTTTTGAAGAGATTGGTAAGGGGATTTTGAGAGAATCTATAAGGGAATGTTCTAACATTGCATGGATCAGCAGAAGAATTTGTTGGAGAGATTTTTTTCATCTTTCTTTCAAGAGGAAAAAACTAAGTATTGTGTTCTTCATTATCTTATGATTTTGTAAACACTTATCTAGTGCATTTTTTTTTATGAAATGAAGTTTTCTGTTGTGTTTTCTACGTGTTTTGTGATGTGTTTTAATTATAAATGTGATGGTTTTTACTTGCACTTCATTTACATTACAATAAAGGTCTATTGTAGTGGATGCAAATAAATAGGAAAATATACTTTGATGGGCGTAGAATTGGAGATTTTAGGGTGACATACTAAAATCCCCAATTTGGTCTTAGTGTTTGACAACTAAAGCAAGAGTTAGCCTTCAAGCGAAGGGAAGTGGGAGCTCTAGAGTGAGAGCCAGTATCCTCCCAGCCTAATCACAGATTTAGGGACTAAACCTAGGATTAGCCAATCTTCTTTATAGCACTCGGAAGAGGGTAAAAAATATGATTGCTTCTATTTGGCACAGACAATATTTAATGCATCTCATTCCCTTACATTATCCAATTCACTACATAAGAATAGTATTTTTTTAGCATCTCTAAATTCTCCAAACCAATTCATCCAAAAAGGAGTTATCTTTAGAATTAACATTTGCATTTAGGAATAGCTATTATCATTACATTTAACATTTGCACTAAGGAGTAGTTGCTAGATAAAACACCATTTTAATCGACATTCCAATATAAGGCCTGATAGTTGTATACTAGAACTTTGACTAAGGACCTCTTACCTCGCTTCCCTGTGGGATCGATAAACGGAACTCCATTAGAGTCTTGTATTACTTGAGTGACATGTATACTTGCGTTTATATCATTGTGACTATCTAGAATATATAAAATTAATAAAAAATAAATAAAGTTCGCATCAAGCTTTTGGCGTCGTTGGCTGGGATTAAAATCTTCAAGTAGTAATGTCAACTTCGTGAAGCATAGCATATAAAAAATCGCTTCACCCTGTCTACTTTCTTCATTTAGCTTCATTACATTTATGGTCCTCTTCTCTTATCCCTTGTATCCACTGCCTCCCCACTCTGTATGTATGTCTAACCCTTACCTCTTTTCATGTTTTCCTCTGTTACAGTGGTTTGTTTCTCCTTTTACCTATGTGATTTTGCCTTAGGGATTCTCGATTTTCCTCTGTGGTGGTGGTTTGGTGTTTCTTATTTTACTTATTAGTTGTGTCATCGGGTTTTCTCGGTTATCTGATGTGGTGATGGTTTGTTGCTTCTCGCTTTACGTATGTGATTGTGCCTTGGTGCTCTTGATTTTCCTTTATGGTGGTGGTTTGGGGCTTGTCGTTTAACTCATGTGATTGTGCCCTTGGGGAATCTCGGTTGTCCGATGTGGTGGTGGTTATTTACTTCTCATTTTACGTGTGGTTGTGTCTTGGTGCTTCTCGATTTTCCTCTATGGTGATCATTTGGTGATTTTCGTTTAACTTATGTAGTTATGTCATTGGGGCTTCTCAGTTGTATTTTGTGGTGATGGTTTATTGCTTCTCATTTGATATATGTGATCGTGCCTTGTTGTTTCTTGGTTTTCCTCTATGATGGTGGTTTGGTGCTTGACATGTAACTTATGTGGCTGTGCCATTGGAGCTTCTCGATTATCCTCTGTGGAGTTGGTTTGTTGCTTATTATTTTACTTATGTGATTGTGCAATTGAGGCTTCCCAGTTGTTCTTCATTGTGGTGGTTTTTTGCTTCTCATTTTACACATGTGATTGTGTCTTGGGGCTTCTTGGTTTTCCTCTGGGGTGATGGTTTGGTGCTTCTCGTTTTACTTATGTGAAAATGAAGATACAAGTTATTTATGGTATGGTGGTCTCTGTTGCCTATTAACTATGGGTGTGGGTGTAGCTTAGTAGTCTCTATTGGTTGTTGGTTATGGGTGTGATTTTATAATGTTGGCTATTAGTAGGGGTTGGCTCTAGTTTTTTGTTGTTCCTTTGCTTTGATGGTTTTTGAAGTGTGTGTTTTTTATGTCTTTCGTTTTTGTAATGTTATGTAGAGCAATAATGGAAAAGAGAATAAAGAGTTCAATAGATCACTAATTATGATTTATATGATTGCCCCCATCTGTGTTTCATAGATACTACCTGCTCTTAAAGCACACATCACATTGTTAACTGCAGAGACACCTGATTTAGAGCATGTATGCCATTGTTAACAACACATACTAACTGTTCTTAGAACAAACATACTAAACAACAAATAGTACCTAACCTTAGAGCACACTTAACACTATTAACAACAGATACTACCTAGTCTTAGAGCACAAATGTCACCGTTAACAATATAAACTGCATGGTCTTAAAGTGTATATAATATAATTGGTGATCTTGGGTCGAGCATTCTTTGATAAATTAATCTCATTGAGCTCTAATTCGACCTATTATTTTTAAATTTTATTTTAATTATTATTATTATTATTTCAATTGTAAGCTAAATTATTTTTTTTCTTCCAAATGTTTTATTTACATGAAACATTACATGAGTAAACAAAAGAAATGTGAAATATTGACCATCTAGGAGATGGAGGTTAATATCATATTCTATAGGATCAAACAATGCGAGAGGCTTTCATTAAGATGGTGTCAGAATAGAGGATTCCTTACATTCGTTATTTTTTTAGAAATTAAGTCTAATTAATTCATTTTTTTATTAGTGTTTCAGATTACAATGTGTAATAATTTAAGCCTATATGTTGAACAATATTGTGTGTTGTGTTCATGTGATATTTCAACATTTATATTTTGCACTAGTTATAGCACTTTAATAACTAGCCATTCAATATTTAGGTTTATTTATAACATAGCTTGTTCTTCTCTTAATATTATATCATGCATAAAAAAGTAAGATGAACTCATTAAATAAAGAGAAACTTATAGAGATTGTGAAATGAACAATAATTATGACTAAAATAGTATGTCTAATTAATGAGTACAATGAGACAATTTTTTGTAAGACCCCTTGCTCTTATCTTCATTTGTGAGTGACAAGTGGATTGGTGATTTACTCCATGGTCATCCAAGTAGAATTCATAGTAAATTTTAGATGAATTGTAGAGTCATTATGGTTTGCATGGATCATCCTGATTTACACCCATGGAAGTACTAGCCATTATATTATATAATATGTCACACAATGAGTCCATTTGTGTTACTTATGAGCAATTTTGGCACTCAACAGGACAATTAATAGATATTTCTATCATGGTATTAAATCTTTGATTAGATTATCAATTAACATTATGAACCACATACATCCCGCTTTTGTGCATGCACCAAGAGAAATTAGTAACAATACAATACATGTCATTCTTCAATGTATTGATATTTCTATTTATTTTGCATGCATGCTTTACATAAAAAAATTGTTCTAATGAT